TTTAAGATTTGCCTCCCATATGCATGGTAATAGCGAACAATCTTTTACACATTATGGAATAAGCTGTAATTACGTTTTAAATGAGTCCAAATGTATTTTCTGGAACATTAGAGAGTCTCCCCCCTCTGTTTTCTTGTGTCTGATTTTTTTGCTTCAAATGTCGTACCAGGCAATGAAGATATTAGCCAATCAGGGAAAGGAGACAAGTTTATGTTAGACAGACATGATGGCATGGCTAGAAATGCTGATGGTAAAGGTAGGGTTTGGTTGCAAATATTTTGGGATTATTTCTGTAACATATTTTGCTAGAACTTGCTGTTTTATCATTGGTTAGCATTTGGAGATCTATTTCATTTTACTTTAGTTGCCCAAGAGAAATAACAACTTCAGCACATGGGACTTGCAGGAAACAGAGTTGATTCTCGTCAATCAAAAGATGTAAAGGTTTCAGGTAGAGAAGGAAATTTGATAAAGCCTGCAAAAGTCAAGGCAGAAGTTTCTGAATTGAACTCAGGCTCTGTTAGGAGCAATATTGCTGATAGGAGTGAATCTGGTCCCATAGATCGACCTCGTATCATGATTGGAAAGCGCCGCACTGAGGGAAGGACTGGTCAAGATGGATCTGTACAAACTATGTCACAAGGTGAGAGGATGTTTTTGGGGAAGCAGTCAGAAGGCAGGTCTGATGCATATGATGAAACAGATGACAATGCTAATCATACACCATCCCATTCTTTGCCAAAAGACTCTAAACCCTTGTTGAGATTGAAATTTAAGAAACCTAGTATCGAAAGTCAAAATTCTCTTCATCGTGAAGATGATAAGATTACAATCAAGGGACAGAGGTCAAAAAGGAAGAGACCTTCACCTTTCATGGAGAAAGTGTTGAACAATGAGGGTGAAGATGTAGCACAATTGCATCAAGATGGTCCGATGGATGAAATCATGGGTGCTAATTGGATATTGATGAGATTAGGTAAAGATGCCATTGGAAAGAGAGTTGAAGTTCAGCAGACATCTGACAATTCTTGGTTGGTTTCTTCTCTACCCTTTTGCATGCATCAACGATATTTCGTAGTTCAGGCCAAAAAGAAAATAATAACATTTGGAAGTTGATTTGGCATACCCTGATTTCACTTCTTTTTTGATTTTATCCTGAACTTCACTTTTATTACTACTGATTTATTGGTTTCTCCTTGGACTCTTCAATATCTAACAAAAGCTCCTGGTGTATGAATGTGCATTTTGTTATTTTAAAAAATTGTGGTATTGACTTTATGGGTATAACATATCCCTTTTCTTTACATACTTGTCTTCTGTTTACTTAATCCTTCAATTTGAAATTTGAGTTGTCTGTTTGGCTTTGGCGTGTTTTTTTCTGTCCAAACTGTAAAGATCCTTTTTCCCCTGCATTTTTAATTTGCCCTTTTTATCCTCCAAGCAAATGAGTCTCTAGATGTGAAAGAAGAAAAAGGAGTATTATGTAGACATAATTGTGTGTTATTCGTTGCAATATAGATCTCTTGAAAAGAAGCCATGCAACTACTATGGTACCTGTATTTATCATCTGATTTTGAGGATCCATACATTTTCCTGAAGTTTGCTTCTTTTGGTTATCTTTTTTTAAATGAAAATTTGATATGCTTGCCTGTAATGATTCAATCAAATAGAATTCTTTTCCAAGAGACATTTGTCTTGCTTGTACGAGCAAAATTATTCTAAAAATTTGATGTGCATTACAGTCAACGTGTTTTATTTTCACCTTTTATTCAGGCACAAGGGATCGGTCACTGATGTAATTGAAGGGACTTCAAAAATATCTGTTACCTTGGAGGATGGCAAGGTGAAGACCTTGGAACTCCGTAAGCAAGGGGTCCGTTTTATTCCTCAAAAGCAAAAGAGATCAAAAGCTTGAAATGCTCAACCATTTCATTCTTGGTTATTCTTTAACGTGGGGACTGTCTATTCTTTCGATTTGAAGAGACAGCTTCATCTCTATGGGGGCCCCTTGTTACTACCTGCCATTCGGTGCTCTATGTGATGCTGATTTTTTGGCTGAAGCATTTTCTTCTGGAACTATTTCAGTTTTCCGGGAAGAAACAAGCTGCTTCTGTTGAGGTCCTTTCTAAAACCGCAAGATTTCATCTAGGGTTAGAATTGTCTCATTTTTTCCCCTACATGTATTTTATTTTAGAAAGTAGTTTTCTACATCTGATGTATAGGTCACCATTGCTGTAGAATGAAGATTTTTTTTTTTTGGCCTTTGGATGATTATGTAGCACGAAAATGGAGTGTCGGATTTATGGCTTATGTTGCTAGTTGTATTGTGTACCACAGCCTTAGTGAGCTGAGATGTTACCATTTGAAAATTGAACTGGCTCAGTTTGTCCTCTCCACAAAGTAGTGGGTGGTTGGTGTTCCATAGGGTTCAAATTCCCTCAAAATCCGTTTAGTACATGGACATTTTAATTGTTTTCTAATTTCTTTTTATTGTAATCAATTTGCTGAATATTTGAAAACCCAATGTAAGGATTAGTAAACCAATGTTGGAATTCTCATATTGTTCACTCAATATATTTCAAGAGCTGTAGATCTGGAGATTATAAAAATAATTGACTTTCAAATATATATTATTATCATTATGTGAATGGATTGTGGTGATGGATGAGGGAAAATTTTAAAAGACATTTGTCATCTGAATTTTTGGGGTTTTACACTTGCAGTGATTTTTCATCGTCATAGAATTCTTTATCAACCCCTGAAATAGATGCTATTTTTGAGAAGCCTAGCTCTTCTTTGATCATGACCGGTTGTTACCTTCGTAATTATTTTGATCCATGAACATCACTTTTTAGTTTCGACCTCTACTTTCGTTGGGTTATTCTATTTATTTTGCTAGGACCAATAAAACTTTCAAAATTTTTAGACTCTATTTACAAAATTAATAGGTTTTAATTTTTCCCCTTTAATTTCTTTTACCGAGAGCTTTAATGATGAAGAAAACTTGTAAAAATTTAATATGATTTATTAATAAGATTAAAAAGTTTGTCTTATGAATAGTATTGAAGGGAGTATTTCATGGTGTTCATGTCGTTGTTTTCCAAAGGATGCAGCTTGAGGTTTTCTTTCAGTTTACTGATGCAGAGCATCATAAATGGTCATAATCGTTATATATTTGGGGTCCATTTAAATTTTAATTAGATATAATTAATTATGAAAATATTAATTAATATGATTGATTTTAATTATAATTGATTATTTTATAATGCAATTTATTTGGATATAATTTTTCTGAAATTTATTTCAATAGAATTGAAGTTATTTTAATGATTTAGTCAAAATTAATTTTAACTGTTCAAATTATCATAAATGATGTTACTTTTCAAAATTAACTTGTTAATAAAATTGTATATAATATTATTAAATTTTTTAAATTTATTTAAGAAGTAAAATATATTATTTAACTTACATATTTGATCAATTATCGAAATTTAAATTATATTAATATTAACAATTTAATTTACGTAAATAATAACTCAATATATCTGAGTGCAAATAAATTTAATAAAAGAGAAAGATATAATTCTTAAATACTAAATATTAATTTTATAATAACTAATGAAAATAATAATATATAAGTTGATATTTAATAACATCACGGATATGAGTCATACCTAATGAAGATGTTATGAATGATGAAAAGGATGAACATTCATAAATGTGATGATCTATCTCATATTCTATTTAATCTTTTCTCTCATGATGCATAAAATCAAAATCAAAATCAAATTGTCTTCTAATAAAATTATGTATTGTCATTATTGCAACAACGATTTGAACTTGTATAATATAGTTATAACTAGGCATATTGCGTAAAATTATAAATTTATTCTTTCAAACTCCAAACGTTCGTTTTATTATGCATCATAAACTTGAATGAAAAACTAACGGGAGTTGGTTGAGTGATAAGCGGCTCGATTCTGCTTAAGCAAAGTCTCGAGTTCGAGCCTTGTGTATGCAAAAAATTTCCGTTGGGAGACTCACCCACCATGCTAGGTGCGCGACGCGGGTCGGATCCGAATGTAGTCAAGGCAAAGCTTCAGTGAACTGGGTGGGCTACCTAAAAAAAAAAAAAAAACTTGAATGAAAAAAATTAAACACCTTATTAATTTTTTTCTTGGGGACAAAGATTAGTGAGCTTACTGGTAAATAAAACTTGATATGAAACTATGTAGATATCCATCGCATAATGATTCAAATCCTTTTGCGAATTGCATTCGTTGCATTACTTGTTGAAGAAATTCCCAGCAGGCTTTATTACATGTCTCCGCAATATCAAATATTAGAGAAAATCAATCCACCATTGCTTGTCTCTCGTACTATGAAGTTTACTCAAATTTAAGACATTAAACGGATTAACAAGTCTATAATCCCGTATTGAGACAAGAGTACGGAAATTATTAGAAATTAGAATGATCAAATGTCTATTAAGTTTCTTAAGCAAGTATCAAAATCGTGCCAATCAAACCCAAAATACTTGGGGATTGGGATTTAGGGAACAACATTATATCGATTTTTTATTTTTTTTATTTTACATATTAGACCATTTAAACCCATTGAAACTTAGATTAAACTACACGCATATCAAAAAACAGAAAGCAGAAACGCTTAATAATACAAAGGACAGAAACAATGGGCAATTAAATGGAACCCATTCCTACGGTGTTCCAAAGAATTAAAATTCTATCATGAAGTCCAGAGATGGAAGAGAGCAACGTGGCAGCCTGGCATTGCGTTGGCAGCATGCAAACTCTCTGACGTGGCTCTCACTCAGCCTCATTCTTCTCTGCTTCCCCACCATCATCCATATCACATATATGATATGTCCAAATCCTACCCATTCGCCGCCTGATAACTCGATCAAAAACTCAACGTCTCTCTGTCGTTTACCTTCCCTCCCTCGAATACGCGGCACGCCGTTTGCGTCCCCCTCTGCCACCTGTCCATCCTCTTCCCCTATATACAAACAAACCAGCCTCTCGCTTGTTTACTCCCAGCAAGCACGAGCAGCTTCGTCGATCATGGCGTCATTGATGAACTCATGGGCCTTCTTCATCCTTCTGATCTCCCTCCTGTTTACGCCTTCTTATGCTAATAGAGGACCCCTTGTGGGAGGGAAGACTGACATTCCGGACGTCAAGTCCAACAGCGAGGTGCAGCAGCTAGGCAGATTTTCGGTGGAGGAGTACAACCGCAGCTTGAGACTGTGGTGGAATCCGCCGGACGAGCCGCTGGAGTTCAGACGAGTGGTGGAGGCACAGAGGCAAGTGGTGTCGGGGATAAAGTACTACCTCAAGATCTCGGCGTCGCAGAACAGGAGAGAGAGGATGTTCGATTCGGAGGTGGTGGTCAAGCCTTGGCTTCATTCCAAGCAGCTCCTTCACTTTGCTCGTTCTCGTTCCAGTACAAATCTCAACTAGATAGCAAAAAGACTCATCCTTTCAAGTTTCAGGCGCTCATCAACAAATACTGGAAACTTCAAGGCCAGGTTCGGATTGTACAATATTATGGGAATTACTTTCTGATATACTTTCAGTCAACCTCAGATCTGGAATCCTCAAGGACTTGTCATAGTTCTACAGAAATGGTGTCATTTTTCGCTACTATAAAAAATTTAGAATAGCCCATGTGCCAATATGCTCTCATGCAACTTGTCTGCCAATGGATCTTTTCACATTTGGCATAGTGCAAACGATTGGAGAAGCTCTTGGTTCTTTCTTGCAGTTTGATGAAGGCAGCTTATAAATATGTCTCATGGTTTATGGTTTTGGAGTCATTTTCAATTTAGAAATGAGCCTTCCTTTACAAGTTAGAGGAATAATTTCATAGCTAGCAGGTTGTTACGAAAGAGTTGTTTGGATATGTTTCAATTTACAGAGAGTTTTGGGCATGTTTAGTAGTGTTGTTTCCATCAACGTTCATGGTTTACAACTTTTACTTCAGGATCCATTCATGTTTGTGGCTCAGTTTTTCTGTCGAGTTGGCTATTTAAGTTTTTACCTCTATATAGTATTTTTTTTTTTAAAAAACAAATTAGAGGAGCTTTGTTGCTCTTTTCAACGTGTAATATTAATAAAAATATGTGGAACATTAACTTGTATATAATAACTCAGCAAGTGTCTTTTGTTTAGGAAAAAAGAAAATAATATTTGAAGCAAAATTTTTGGAGGGAAATTTAAGAACATGCAAACGAAGCAAGCTGATGTCATCTACTCATCGAGACCGGCATATTTTGCTTTCAACTTTTTTTCCCCCAAAAGCTTTCAATTTCACTAACTTCACATATTAAACAACTAATAAATTAAAATGAAAAACAACAGGAAAATTCCCATCCCAGGGAAAAAAAATAAAAAAACCTAAGGAGGGTATAGAGTTCTGAAAAAAGATCATTATCAGATATAATAAATTAACAGAAGAAAAGAAATTATGTAAAACATTTTACAACCATCATCATAGATGCTGTAGAAGGAATAGTACTTAAAAGCTAAAACAGTATGATTATATAGATATATATATATATAAGATGTTTGGATTACTCAATTGTTTGCTTATATGAAATGAGAACTTGGACTTTATGGGTATGATTCTCATTAGAAGAAATGTGAAATTCATTTAGAAAAGGCTAGATTTTAAACGCGTTCATAGATCTGAATTGCTTTTGTTCAAGTGTAAAATTAAATCAAATCAAGCCAATCAGTTCATACATTAGAATACTAATTTAATTTTAACATGCAAACTATCTATTGTAACATTATGATACTGATCTTTCAAATTTTACATCATCTTTACACTCTGCATATTTCTTTCTGCTACAATTAGTATCTCCTACAATGTCTATACATCTGATGCACCTACATCACAACTTTTAAAAGCCATATAGTGTACAACTAGCTACAGAGTCAATAAAAATTTATCAAGGCGGATGTATAAGTACCTTCCACTATCTAAAACACTCACTAATTGAGTTTTCATGCAACTCACTTGTATAGCCAACTTATAAACTAGATGTACTCAAAAGTTTGTACTACATTATAGAGAAATCTTCATCAAGCCCTTCTATTTCTCCTCTAAGTTTGTGCTGCTGGATTATCAAAACAGAGACGTTCATAGAGAATTCTGGTCCTGAAAGAACATCTCCAATTGGTCCTAATTCTGGACATTGTTGCCAATCATTCATCCCTTTTGTTAAAATAGAGTTCACTCCTCCTCCTCTCCCCACAATCACAAGTGAATATTGACCCTCAAATGACCTTAGAGTAGAGAAGGTCTCTGCTGAATTTGCAAGATGCTTCTCCATGTACGAAATCCGACCTCCAACCACTTGTCTTTCATAGAATTGCGCGAAGTACTCGTCATCTAGCTGGATTTCTTCCTCCTCCTTCACTGAAGGGACCTTGTGGCCTGCATATATTAAGACATCTGAACCAGTATCTACCAGAAACCTTATCACTGTGAGTTTAATTCCTGGATGCTTTGATACTCTAGTAGCATAGGCCAAAGCTTCTCTATCATCTTGTCCTCCAACAAAAATGACTGCCACTTGTACTGATACACAAGATTTTGAAATCTTCTCAATGGATCCAATTCCTCTGTCCACTAGAATCCCCACAGAACAAGGAGCATTTGACAATAACTGTTCCATAAAATAGCTATTGCAGTGAGAATTAAGATAGAAATGCAGAGAGTAAAAAATTTCTTCTTGTGTAAAATTGGAAAAAAAAAAAAAAACTTCAGTTAAAGAAGAAGATGAAGAAGAACCTAGGAGCTTTAATTTTCTATTGATTCTAACAGTTGAACAAACTCTTGTCTTGGATATATTATACCCGAACTAATATTACTTCCTTTCTTCCTTTAAACCAACAATTCTGTCTATTTATTTATCAAAGTCTTAACTGACTAATCCAATACATGTTGTCTTTAATTATTTGAACCATACGGGGTAAAGAACATCTTTTTCAGGTTCTTCAAGTTCTTACATTATAAAATAAATGTTCTATATTCTATGGATTATGTTACACATAACATGTTATATTATTCAATATAATGCATGAAAATATGCGTCTAGTCAAATATTGTGAAGCATGTAAAGCTTGGTTTTGATTACATTACCTTTTTATTCACATGTCTGAACCCTGGATTGCCTGAATCCAATGTTCCATTTTCACGCTGTGTCCTATGAAATGGTATTATGATGAGGGCAATCATCAAGTCCTCTGCTAAATTGGCTATATCTTGGGCCATATTGTTGAAAGTTGAGAGAGCCAAGGTTCTTCTAAGTGTTATCCCATCACCATCTTCTTCTACATAAGCTTGGAACAATAAAGTCACCTTGTCTCTCATTTCCACCACACCTTTGTCCTTCACAATCAACGTGTCTGCTCCTTGAACTTCCTCTATTGTCGCTGCGATTCCCCCTGTGAGCTCTATCATGTCTGTGACGTATACGAGGATTCCAGGATCTGCTGTGCCTCTTGTGATCTCCATCAAGTTAATCGCCGATCGAACATGTTGGGGTCCATGGACGCATAGAAGTATCCTTAATTCCCTCATTGGATCGAGCAATTGAAGAGCCATTCTATGGGTAGGTGCTCTTTTCTTTGCGCGTTTTATGATCTGTGCTACTACTGCTGGGGAAGGCAAAATTGTGAGGAATATAACGACTATCATCACTATTCCGGTGGATGTACTGATTCCACATTGCATCTGATTGCACAAGACCAAGAGTAAATCAATGATTAATGCATGTGTTTTCTGCTGTGTTTGTCTTAACTTCATAGAAAATTGATGGGCCTACTTGATGCATGGTATCAGCTTATTAAAATGTGCCTTCGGCTATGACAAGATACTAATTTCAGCAATAGACGATCATTTGCGGAGAAATAAAATTGAACTTTTGAGCACTTGAATTGTATAGAAGCAGTGGAGAAGCCAAAGATACTAAGATCACGTTTGCTTATTAAAATAGAATGCAATAGAATGGATTAAAAATATAAAGATAAAAAAAACTAAATCACCCTTCTCCCCATAATAAGCATGATAAAACTCATTAATATATATTATAAATGTGGGAATCATTATACCTTTCAAAAATCTCATGTATTATAATTCTTAATTCCATGAACTAAATTACTCCTTCCCCTCATGAATGTGCTCATCTATCTCCTTTGATTATCTTAGTTTTATATTTATTTTTTTAATCCATTCCATTCCAACAAACAAATGTGATCTAAGGATATCTTTGGAGGACCAACAGGTGCTAATGTTCAAGTCTTGAATTTTCAAAATGAATGGAATGAGTTCGTACTTGCAAAGCAGGCAATATTTAGATGTGACATTCTATCATTGGGACTTTGGTTTGATTCCTATTGGTTAAATCTCAGAAATTGTATATCCATGCCTCTCTCAATCTTAAATATGTAGAACCATTTTTACCCTCACACATATACTGCAGCCATTACTATTTGAGTCCCACCATTTAGTCGATATATCCTATTAATAGTTTCAATGTGAGTCTTAAGATGTTGGATTTTTTAAATTTCACAAGGTCCCGATTCAATATACTTGTACATTAATGCTAATCAAGAGAATGCTGGAAATACCAATTTACAATCACAGAGACTTCATCTTTTGCAACTTTGTAGCCCTGGAAACTGAGAAAATGAGGAAAGAAACCATGAAATCAAAATTCACTTACTGCCTTGATGGCCAAATAGATATGAAAATGGCCCTTGATGGTGAGGAGCAACCCAATTGCAACTGAATCATTCCAATTGAATCCCATTATTATCCCTAAAAGAAGTATTCCTGCAACTTTACTAACTATAACTGTCCCAATAAGTAAGAATAGTCTTGCCCATGTATCTAATTTTCCAGGCTCAAACTTCCTTAGATCAGCTGCATAACCCATCCACAGGAAAAATATGGGGAAGAAAATTGTGGTCAACAAATAGTTAATTTTGCTGATAACCCATTTGGAAACTCTTCCTTCTCTAGGCAAACATATCCCAGCCATGAATGCACTTAGAATTGCATTATAACCATAAGGGGGAGATATGGCACATGCTAAGACCATGAAGGCTATAACAAGCACCAAATGTGAACCCTTCATGGGTTTCCCTTCTGGGTTTTCATTATTAACCCAGTTCACAAACCAGGGCGAAACCAAGGATGTAAAAAGCACCTGCACTAAAAGTGCACAACTTGTGGCGATGATCCTTCTCATGTGATTCTTCTCATTCAAGTCAATGCAGTAATTGTGCATTGGTATAGCAATGTAGCCAATTGAAATGATCAAAGAGCATATGAAATCTGAGTGCATCCCTGCTGCAATGACAAGCTTCCCTATATCAGACTTGCCTATTTTGAGGCTCGTCAATAGACGGGTCAGCACTGGCGAGGCCGTGCTGGAGAGAAGCGTAGAGAAAGAAAGGGTGAATCCTATCTTGTGTTGGTTAGGAAAATAGTGAAGAAATGAAGTTGTAACACATGCTATGATGAATGTAGAGATTATCCCTGCATAAGTAACTTGAGCATCTCTGGTAGGTTTCTTGATGAGCACAAGAGGATCCATTTCTATCCCTAAAGCAAACATGTAACATATCATTCCAATATCAATGATGAATCCAAAGGTCTTGTTGAATTGTTCATATTCATTACGTAGAAACCCTATGTTCCCCACAATCAGTCCTACCTGCATCATTGTGAACAGCATTAGAAGCATTCAATCCCTTTGATTTCCAAAAATTATTGGGAAAAATATGTCCAATTCTGTTGGTAATTTAAATGAGAGAGAAGCTTACGAGTATGTCAGAAGCAATGCGTGGTTGTGAATAAGGTTTTAGTAGGTAATGTACGCCATTGCAAATAACTACCATCCCCATAAAGATGGCAAAGTTTTTTCCTACCGAAAACATGAGTGAACCCAGTTTCTCAGAACATGGGTCTAACGCAAACCTGAAACTGTTATTCATGGTAGAACTTGACATCTTGGCTGGTTTGATTCGCACTAGCTTCCTCTGTTTCTTTCTTCTTTGAATACAAACTCACCAAAAACATTTCTTTTTCTTCT